GTTAAACAGGACCTGCTCTTCATAAACCCATACACCTTGACAGGAATACAGCTCTTCTCCCAATGTATCAAACTCTGAAGCATAATGTTAAGCTATTAAGAGTGTTTTGGGGGTGTTGGTATGGTTCCTTTCTTCAAGTTTTGGAGCGTTGTTTTTTTTTTCCATTAAAATACTCTTGCTTTTTTATCCTGCAGCTAGGATTTGTGTGTGGCCTGGCAAAGCTCCCATACTTCTCGTAGTTTTGCTGCTATGTGGGGAGTTCTAATGGATAATGAGATCTGTGTCCAGGTGGTTTGTTGCTTCCCTCCTTTTTTGATGGAGGTGGATGTAGTGATTCATTGGCTAACCTGGAGAGAAGATTTCCTGAGATAACAGGAGATTGTTGGTTTAGAAAATTATAATTTTTAGCTTTGTGGTATAAATAGATGGTAATATTTTCTTTGAAGCTCATAAACGTGGGCTTGGTAGATAGACTGCTTTCAAGACTGGTATTTGTTGCTGTACAGTACAGGTCTTGAAGGCTTTTTGAGGAGGAGTCTTGGAATTATGGTATGTTCACATAAGAAACTAGTAATCAGTTATTAAATTAATGCTTAGTTTGGTAGAATAAAAGCTTGTTACTCTTAAAACTATACTTCTGTATTTTAAGAACTGTCAAGAAACCTTTTTGAACCAATAATGTTGCTGTAATATATTGAGACACACATTGGAGTAGATGAAAACTTTACATTTGTGGTCGGAACAAGTGGGAGGATTTGGTAAGAGCCTAGATTCTGGACAAAAGAAAGAAGGGAGGATTCAGAACAGAGGAATTACTGAAGTAGTTAAGGAGTGGCCTTATTAACTCAAGTTAATCAAGGTTATGTATTAAATAGGTGCAGACTGATTGACAGTTGTTAATTGCTTATGCAGCTGCAATTGCATTTGGCATACTTGGATCAGGCATCTTGAGCTATATTAACAGGCTACATGAAATGTATCTTGCTTATTGATTAACTTGGAATAAAATCTGTAACATTCAGAGGGATTTAATGCAAACATTACAGTGCGAGTTAAAGTAATGAATTACAAGGACTGTTAAATTTTTCTGGTAGTTTTGGATGAGAGTTGGGTTTTCTGGTCACTTTAACCACTGTGTTTGTGAAGGAGAGACAAACATGGACATCTCATCTGAATTGCTTCATAAATGCAATGTTTTAATTTATCCATATATGAAGTTGCTCATGTGTGAGATTGAGTTTACACTGGCATTGTGATGTCGGGCAAGTGTAGATTATTTACACCACTGTTGCCTTCAGTTGCTGTACTGTCCTAGCGTATGTGGAATTGCAGCTGACAGTTTTCAGTTTTCATCTTTGCAGACGTGGAAATACTGCATTTGTGCTTGTTCCATGGTGTTCAGCAGTGCAGAAATACATGTTTGTCAACACTGTTGTGTCTCCTGCCCCTCCCCCCCGCTTCCCAACTCGCTCCAGTCTAAAACCATATAGTCAAGATTTCATATGTGCTCAGTAAGATTGACCTTGGGAAGAGGCCATAATTACCTAATTATCCTGTCTGGGTAACTAATGTTCAAACTGGGAGGTTGGCAGTCATCTAGAGCCTTGGCTGTATTTCTCTAATCCTATCTTAGTCTATTTAGATTAAAAGTTTAGCATACAGGGAATGTTCAGCTGAGTTAATGAATGAAGTACATAGAAGCTCCGTGAAGTTGGTAGCTTGGTAATCTAGAAGGTGGTGTTTGAGAATTTACACTTACAGAATGAAATCATGAAGTGTCACAGGGCTTGATTTACAGGAGTGCTTGAAAATCATCTGCTTCTATCAGTTTAATTAAGTCTGATATCTGAATCAAGTATTCGTCTGTCTGTGAAAACCAGTCGCTGTGGATGGTTTAGCATTTATTTATTTTTTTATTCCATTTGCTAGGTCAGAGGAAGCTAAAGTGCTTATTGCTGTTGGGGTAGGTAGCACAGTTAATTTTCATCTGAGCTCAGACAGGTGTATAAACTGTTAGTTGCAAAGTTTCAGAGAATCAATCTTTCTTATTCACTTGGAAAGCATTTTTCTTGCCTCATTTTTTTTGTAGGTCATTTGTTGGGTGTAATTGTAGAGATGTGTTCCTTACAGTTGTTACACCCAAGAGCAATGAAATGGTAGTCGTTTCCACTTAAAAATCACCTTTCAAAACTAAGGTGAAATGGGTCAGCATCTGACTGCTGCTAACTGTGCTATGAAAATTTGTACAGGTAATAAAAATTACATAGTTTTTCAATAGTTCATTTTTTTGTTATAGATTCCGTTATTCTTTTTTTTTTAGTTACTTATCCAGATGTGATTGCACTTGGCAAAGGTTAGGGGGCCTCTGGTTTCTAAGTTGGTCCTTAGTTTCTTTTGTATCCTTCATTTCTCCTAAGTGAGAAATCTTGCCAGGAATTTGATCTAGTGTATTCCGTTTATTTCTCTTATTTTTCCCATTTATAACTAAATCAGCTGATGGGCTTACTAATAATGGCATACGGTTCAGGAGTCAAGATATTGTCAATCAGCTGACTTGGGGAGACATTTCTTGATGTTTTGTGAATATCTTCATGCACGGTGGGAAGAAGGCAAATAGGTTAGCACATTTAGAGGCCATTGCCGAGTTATGTTCGGGTGTAAGCAGAAATGCTGTGTTACAGCTGCAGTATCTGGGGTGTGTGGGGTGGTGGATGTAATTGTACCACATAAATGGAATTAGTATTTCAGACACTATTTAAGATGGTACTTGCCTTTTACTATGCCTTGGTATAGAAAGCTGAACTGCAAGATTTCAAAATGTGCACAATTCTTCCTAGGCTGAGATTACATCCAGTTTCTCTATGCAGATGTTCAGACCTCGAAGTAGTGAAACGTACTGTTTCCTATTGGAAGAACTCTACTTCTTGTACATGGAGTTGTGTACCCCTTCAAGTGCTGCCTGTTCTTGATGGGCTTTCAGCATCGATATGCTGACATTTACAACCTACATCTTGAACTTTGTGTCATGTTTCCCAGGATACCTTTTTTTTTTCCTTTGTTTTTGTGCTTGGTGAACTATGGTTAGTAGAAGCTTCATTTTCTGTCTGAATAACATGTAGAACTGCTGATTTGTGTGTAAGCTCAAACTGTGGGTGAAGCAGGAGCTGGTGGCTTAGGAAGGAAGGCAAGACAATGTGCTCAATTTAATGGTGATTGCTTCATGCCTTGGTAACTTTTCAGTTACCAGCTGGTGGGTCCCAAGTGGAAACGTAACATAAATTACTTGTCTGATTTCAGCTTTTCTTCACTGAAGAATATATATTTGTAGTCAAGAAGAATATAGTAGAGAACCTTACTAGTTAGAAAGAAAGGAAGGAATGATCATGGAGCCACTGCACTTTTCACCTGAGCTCTCAGTGTGTCATCCCTTACTCTTTTGAAAACAGAAAATGCTGATGAGTTGTACAGTTTAGTGTTATATGGATTATTGTGTAGTAAAAGAAAAAAGTTTTATTTTTTAAATTAGATGCTTAAAAAGTAGAATGTTCAAATTATTACTTCAGTACAATTGAATCATTAAAGCAAGAGTTTGACAAAAGGCAAGCACAGTTTTGTTTGGAAATAGTGTGAAATTTGCAGATATACAACGTCTTGGTTTAACCTAAATGTTAGTATAGTGCATTATTAAATGTTGAGTCAAGTCAGAGGTTAATAGCTGTCTAATCGGTATTTGCCATATTATAGACTTGTTTGGTTTTACCTAAATATTACAGTGTTTTTATCAAGTGTTGGTATACATTTTTAGTATTTTCAGACTCTAGAAAGAATAAATTTTTTCTCTTTTTTTTTGACAGTCAAGAATCCCTTCAGTGAAGAACTACAAAAAGTAAGTAATAGAGATTTTAGTCTATCAAATGATTGTATAAAACCAATATAGATCTGTTCAGAATGATGTGGCTTCAGAATGCTTTGCATAAGATGAACGTACTTCTTGCAACTCATGTTTTAATTTTTTGTGTTTCATCTCAGGCATAACTAGGATTACAGGTTTTGTCTGTGGCCTGCTGGTGGCTTTGTATACTAAGAACATGTTACATAGTTTATGTGGTAGAGCTATGAGGGAAAATTATATTGTGTAAGTTTTGAGACTAAATTTAGCAATTTGTCTCTTACCACTTGGCTTCTCAACCTTGAAATGACAATCAGTAAGAGATGAGTGACTTCAAACTCCAGGATCTTATTTAGTGCCACAGAAGAGCAAGAGTTAGCGTCATTCAGAAAATGGCTTTACAAGTTTATGGTTTTCACTTGGATTCTACTCTGTTACTTGTTCCTATATTCATTCTTTCAACTGGAACATTGGGATAGCCATTTTTGAGAGTTCACCATTGAAAGTGTCTGTATTTTTCCTAGTTTTGAAGCATGTGTTTTGGTGTATTGCAAGATAATTGTGTGCATGGAGTTTTTTTGGTGTATGTATCTAGATTGAGTCCTCCAAAAATGAATAATTGTCTGTTTTAAATATGTGGCCTTGGCTGGCTTGTTGGGTAGAAGGTACTTCTGAATCTTTTGAAAGAAATTGAATTTTGTGGGGTAAGTTCTGAATAACTTTAGCACAGAGACATTGTATCTCATGCACTGGACTTGACAGCTTGAGAACCTTTTTTTTAAATGTTTTTTCTATGTTTCTTGTGTACTCTTCCCTAGTAATCCTACTCTGTGCTTGATTGTTCAGTAGCTACAAAGGTTATACTGCTCAGTTTCTTTCTTTATGTGGCCTGGCCATTAATTTAAGAAGAAAGAATCTAGTCACAAAAACTTTTCACATGTCTGTCTGCATAGCTGTTAGTAAAATCTTGTGTGTATTTATGGCAAATAAATTAACTTGCGACTGCTGCTGTGTGTGTGTAGTAGAGGACAGACTTCCCTCTTCTGCTGTGCCTAGTGTTTTCCAGCCAGGAAGTGATTTAGTAAGGTTGGTTAGTTTCCTGGGTAGTACCAAGTGTATCTGTTTAATCCTAATGATAGTTTTATAGCATCAGAACAGTGAGAGGTGATCCTGGTAATTGTTGAAATCATCTATATGAATTAATCTGTCAAATATTTTATCATGGAAAAAGCATTCTGTTCTTTGGTAGCAATTTTCTTATGGAAAAAGTGTGAGCATTCAAATTTTAAAATTATGTCAGACAGTTCTGGTGCATTAGGGAATTAAACTTAAAATTTTTTTTTTTTCAATGTGAGTGTAATCAGCAGGTGCACAAACTGGAAAATTATTTTCCCTGCATATTTTCTGATTAAAGGCTCTAGTCTTATCTCAGCCAGCCGTTTGACTCTGCCCCAGGAGTCAGAACCAGCTCAAAACCTCCAGTGTTTTAGAGTGACCTTTAGTACTCAGGGTATGTAATTATGTGTTTCCCTTCTTCATTCTTTGAGTAATTCCTTCCAATATAAAATGTTTCTGGATATCGTGGTGGACCTGGCATTGCTAGGTTAACGGCTGGACTTGACAATCTTAAAGGTTTTTTCCAAGCTGAATGATTCTATGATATTTCAATGAAAGTGCTCAATATCTTGATAAGTTTAACTCCCTTGTAAGTAACAATTCTATGACATCTCATATTCATGCTTATTTTGAGAAATAGGTCTTTTTATACTAGTGGCGTATGCAGGAAGTATCAACAAAATTGTATAGTCCACAGCTTTCTGTTTTGTTTTGTTTTGTTTTTAGCTTTTGGGTTTTTTTTCTTTGGTTTTAATTAAGTTACTGTAGTTTGGAGGTAGATGGCAAAAATCTTGCTATACTATGAGTTTGATGCAGGAATACAACCAGGTGGTACTTTAGAGTTGCTTATATTAAGTGTTGCTGCACATGTATTAAGAATAAAACTGTGGAATTTTTATGTAGTAGCTATCAAGAAACCCAACAAACCCACCAAACTTTTGAGTTATTGCACTGTTTTCTCAGTAGTATTAAAATGACCTTTTCAGTGGTCAGTTTTATCTGGCAGATCCATGAGAAGTCTGGGATGCAGTCTGTTAAGATCTGAAAAATCAGTATTGTGAATACTTTGATTCAGAAATCTATTGCTTGCATCACTGTTGATTTGTGCAAACTCTACAGCTTTGCACCTCATATGCGTAAACCCAATTTTTTTTCTCATGGTATATAAAGATTTTTGGGGTTAACAGAAGCAAATGCATCTCTGCTAATGTTTGGTTTAACTTGAATGTGTTTTTTTCTAATTCTAGGAAGAAAAAAGTCTCATGATGAACAGCTTATATGCACTTCATGATAAATTGGCACAAGTAGCAGGTAACACTTTAAAAATATTGTGACTAAGAGTGTTATGGAAACAGCTATAAAGAAGCCTCTGCTCAGATAGGGATTTGCAGTAACTGGTATATGCTGGGGCCTTAACAGCCATTTAGAGTTCCATTTTTGGGAAATAAAAATCCTGTTTCTAGTTCACTTATGCTGCCTTTTTCACCAGTGTAGTTCCTTTCATTGCAGTGTTTTTTAGTTAATGGCGTGTGATGTTGGATATTGTGATCCTGTATAGTTTTTGATCTAATATCTTAATGCTTTCTTAATCTGATTTCATTAATCTAAGTATGCAGTATGTGGAGAGGACTGTGTAATTTCTTTTAAAGGTAGCTATTTCACTATGGTGGAAAAATGTCTGAAAAACAAAATCATTCCCAACAGTCAGAAAATGGTTACTAATGTAATGAACAGCAGTGGCTGAACAAGATTGCCTTATTAGACAAAATAGTCCAACTTGACCATTCTAATTATATAGTAATATGTCAGAGGTGGTGTTTAGGATTAGTATTAATTACTGAATATTCAAAGTAAAGAATACCCTCCCTTTGCCTGGAGTCATAATTAACACAGCTTTAAACTGCACAGATACTTACCCATCACAATCAAGAAATGATAAATACCCTGTTTATAACTTTGGCATCTGGTGAGTGTGAGTTACAGTAGAATTTATTTAGTGACTATTAAGCCATTTATTGATCATCCTTGCTTATTTAATCCATAACGCATTTAGGAGGCAGTGGCTCAGGGTTTTTTGGTTAGTTTGTCAGGGTTTTTTAAGTCTTACTGTTCTTTGTGCCAACTGCTTGTTTTGCAACAGCAAGTTTCACCAGGACGGCTTTTCCACTACTTTCAGCTGCTACAGACATTTCTCAAACCTTAAAAAATATGGAAACAACTCTGTCAGATATGAGGCTGACAATTTTATATGTCAGGGCTATCTAGGAAATCTGCGAGAGATTTAAGCAGCTCCTTAATACTTTTTTAAACTGCAAGAGTAATCTTCCTTTAGAAGCTTCTTGTCTCCAGAGCATTTACAGTATCTGCAGTGAATAAAATGGATGTTTGGACAAAACCCACATTTTTTTTCTTGTTTACAATGTTCTTTAACCCCAAATAGTGCAAGAATCCTTAGTACGTGCAAAATAACAGTTGCTTTAGTCTTCATTTTGTTCCTTTCTAACTGTGAATGCCTTGCAGTGTTGATCTTTCACAGGTCGATTACATGTTGATAGGTTTTTATCTGTTTCAAACTGTTTCATACTTAATAAATAGTAGGTAATGCTGTGCTATAAACCATTATGGCCAAAAGATTTTTTTTAATGTTTTTTTTTTTGTCCGCATGGGATGGCCAACCTCTGGTGTGTAGGAATGTCTTACGAGGCCCACAGCTGTGTGCAATAGAGCATTGACTTGTGTGAAGTGGAAGCAGTGGGTTGTGCTCCTTGCTGTTTCCTCAGCGTGTCATCTGACCCTCAGGTGGCCATACAGTAAACAATATACTTGCCTGGATAAAAGGGTTTGGCACCTCATTTCCACATCTGTGGAAGAAAGTGAGTTTTCTTCATTAGCCGTGCACCTACACTTCTAAAAATGTTTATTTTTCTGCCTTAAGAGAGGAATTTTTTATGCTCCAAGATGACTGCTTTCTTCCCCAGGTCTCCAAGGTGCATTAATCTTTATCAGTTTATCCCTGGCCAAGAGAATCTTACGTATTTACTTTCAGAAAAGATAGCTATACTTCCTGGTTAGATGATTCCCCCCACCTCAAGCTGAAGCTGTATTGCAGGATTACCTGGTTGCTCAGCAGAGTAGCTTTCACAGAGTCTGAAGAGTGACCTAATTCATTGTGCTTAGACATTGTCCTCAACGCCCCGTTTCTTAAAGTATGAGAGGAAGAAGTTTGTTTGAATACCATGTTGATGTAGACCTGGCACAGTATCTGGAAACTGTTGAAAAGTCACACAACAGAGGAAGGTGGTGGAGAGATGCAGCGTTTAAAAGTGTTGGTATCAGACACAGCGCATCGCTTCAAAAGAAAGAGAAGTAAAGGAATACAGTTTTAGTAAAAGTGGTGCTTTTCAGGTCTCTCTGTCAGATACTTGGAAAAGTTTCTCTCATTTCATACTTGGCTATGAATCATTTGTCCATGTTATAACTATTAATATTAAAAAGGCAGACTGGAAACTTGTAGTAGTGTGTTCTGTTAAGCTTTATTCAACATCTTGACTACCGTGAATATAGTAACTTCAGAACTTGGTTTCTAGCTCTGTTTTGTTAGACATCTTATTTTTACTGAGCTTGTTTCTTGCCTTGTCAGCTTCAGTTGGAGCGCAAGTGATGAGGCTTTTATTTTAGAAGGTAAAACACTGAACGTTGTTTGAGGGAAAAAAAGTCAGGGTAACTGTTAATTTTATTTGATTTAAGATATTCTGTTCCAGCTGTAGATGCCTATTTTTTACTGTGGTGCTCTGATCTGATGTGAAATGATTCAATTATCCTGTATAAAAATAGATAGCCTTCAATGCATCACTGTTCTCAGAATTACTAGTCTGCCTATGGTGAGTAATGCCTGCCTCACTAGAAACTGGAGGGGGAAACAGTATCTGCTTGTGCAGTTCTGAGTTGAAGTCTGTGTTCCTGTTTTCTTGTCTAATGGTTCGGCCTTTCTTCAAAGCAGCAGCTTTACATAGTATATATTTCAGTGCTGACCAGTTTCTCCTAAACTGAAATAATGTGCTTTATTTAAATTAGTGCTTTATTTAAATTAGACTTCACTTAGACATATGTTAATTACTGGATGTCTTTGTCTTTCTGGAGAGACTTCAGTAGATCACATCCATTTTCAGTCAGGCTTGCAAAATGAGTAAACCTAACCACCATACCTACAAGAAGCAGTGGGTATGACCCTACTTTCTTGTACATAAAGAATTTTTATTTAGTTAGACATTTCTTTTGCTTGGCATTCTTCACAGAGTGATGAGCTATCAGATTTAGACAGCTTCCTTCTCAGCTATTGGACAGCATACATCCTCGAGATGCAGGGATGAATTAGTCTTTTGTATGTGATAAAGCTTACTGATAAATACATAGCTGGATGAAAATCCTGGCGAAACACTCGGCATTACTTACTATTAATTTCAAGTGTCAGCTCCTGCATCTGATTCCTGTCACAGGTTCTCTGTCCTGTCCCTCTCCTTAATCTTTAGTTTTTCAGACAATTGATGCTGTGCCCTTTCCAACCAGTGATTTAAAGACTCTTTAGCAGGTTCTGGTTTTTTGTGGTGCTGTTAAACTGTTGAATTTGCCTTTGGGAGATCAGTCATCCCTACTGACTCTCACAACACTTGTTCTGCTCCTGTTTTTCTTCAGCTACCCACTTTAGTGTTCTGCTGTAAGTAACCTGCGGGCATGAGACCTGCTAAACAAATGTTGTATACGTGGTCGGCTTTTTTTTTGGTTGGTTGGTTGATTGTATCACATCAAGCTACAGGCTAGAGATCTGTGCTAAATCTATGTTTGTGTTCCTTCAAGTATTACATTTCCACTGGGGTTTGGTTTTGGTACTTCAAGAGAATGATTTTCATTACAGAGCAAATGTTTAAAAAATATGAATATTTCTTTTAACTGCATATGCTGCAGCTTGTAAATTAAGCTAAATGCCCAAATGAAACTCAGCTCCATATATTTTAGCTTGCATGGAAAAGCAGATCTGACTTTCTGTATTGAAACCAATAGTGAGAACAGTCTTAAATGTTTCTTTAGAACTGAGACTTGAGTTGCTCTTCATTAGTATTTCTAGGAGAACTCAGTTCCCTATGTGGTTTGCCCAAGTACACTAGAGTAAGCTAAAAGGTAATTTTATGGTTCTTACTGGGATGTGTTACTTCTCACCTGCCTGCAAAGATAAGTCGAATGGTTCTCTGCATTTGAAATTGATCTGTGCCCACGAAAAGCTTGAGCACAAAGATTCCTGCTTTCTGTAAGCTCACAATAGACATTTTAACAGATGTATCTTGTAGCAGACCTGTGTAAAGTTTTTTTGCCTCTGCTTCTGTTTTATTCCTGGATACAGGGCCTCAAATGGAACAGTTGGGAAACGTTTTTGGCTCAGACTATGGAAAGTGGGTTTCCAAGCCAAGTGGTTAGTGATTGCACCAAAGTTATTCAAAGTAAGCCTTCATTTGCAGCACTGTTAGCTAAAGCGGTGACTGCAGTGGCATATAGGAATATCCTGCTGTTCGCAGTGAAACAGACGCTTGTCTGACTTCAGTCAGGCTTTCAGATTCTTGAGTTTCTCAGAGGAAAATTTTTAAATTGTTCTCAGCAATAAGTAAGTCGAAATGAGAGACTGCATCTCCAGCTGCTTTTTGTACAGGACTGAAACTCTGTAAACTCTTGGTCAACTTACTTGTTTCAAGAGTGAGAGGCAAAATGAAAATGATTTTTATTTTTTTTTCTCCCCAGCATTGCATGAGGGTAATTTGAACTGATGGGCCTTAAACCATTGTAAGAGCCTAGGCAGCAAAGGCATTTTTAACTATTGATCTTGTTCAGAGGGAATAGAGTTTGAAAAAAGAAAAATAAGAAAAAATGCAGAAGCAAGACTGCGAGGAAGCTGTCTGCTGGTTTTTGAAAATGGGAACAGAAGCTGTGAACTCAGTGTGTTGGCTGCATACTGCGTAAACATAATTCCTGGAAGAAGACAAATAAGATTTGAATTTAGAACTACTAAAGTAGTACCCCATCCAAGGGAATTTTTGTCCTCTTGGAAGAGGTAATACTGTGTTCTCATAAGATTGAAAATCTAAAATGAATACTGAAACTTGTTTTTAAGAATTCTCTTTTCACAGTCTGGTCTCCTGCTTGTGTGTTTTGTTTGCTCTCTGTGTATTAACCTCACCCTTTTTATTATTTGTTATTTCATGAATGGTCTTTCCTGCTTACCTGGATTGTTAAAAAACAACAAACAAGCAAGCTCCTAAGCAGAAGTGTCTCATCTCCCTCCTGTCACAAGCTGCTTTGTTCAGTCAAGTTATGACTGATAGGCTTTTTCTGCATTAGAAAGACCCCAAGAAGACTTCAGGTCTTACTGAACAACAACAAAAAAAAGCTTAAATAAATGAATACCTGTCAGACTTTCTTACGTGATACAGCTCAATACCTGACTGAGATTGTACATTTGGCTTCTACAGAGATACTTTCCAGCTTTGTTTTATTTATTCCATCAGTTCTAGATTTAAAACAGTATGTTTACGCCAGAGACTGTATCGGTATGATACACTGTTCTCCCAAGGCTGTTAATCTTGAAAAATGAAATCAGTGATGGTTACACGTAAACTTACAGGTTGTAGAGTTTACGCTGCGTGAGAAGAATATCTGCCTGAGTGATACTTTCTAGCTTTGTTATATTTATTCCATCAGTTAGATTTAAAACAGTATGTTTACGTCAGAGACTGTATCGGTATGATACACTGTTCTCCCAAGGCTGTTAATCTTGAAAAATGAAATCAGTGATGGTTACACGTAAACTTACAGGTTGTAGAGTTTATGCTGCGTGAGAAGAATATCTGCCTGAGTTGCATACAAGAATAGCTCAGAACTCTCATTCTGGTGCGGACTTCTAAATTCAGTGGGTTTTTTGGCAGAGATGGTGTCAGTTTTCACCAGTGATCTCTCTATTTTGCTATGACAGTAGCCTGAGGCACTTTGAAAGTCTAAGACATGTTAATTATCAAGTGAAACAACTTTTAAAGTAGTGTCTTTTCTGCTCAGTGCATGTGCCAGACGTGCTGTGAGCGCTCCTAAAACCAGTGTTCCTATTTCTATATAACCCAGCAGTAAGCGAAGAACATCTCTGTTAAGCTGATGAGCTTGCAAGGCCAAATTCACTTAAATCTGTTGAAGTGTAACTGAACAAAACTTTGCTTTAGCAAAGTCTGAGAAGGACTTTTGCTTGGTTGCAACACCTGTAATAGGAGATCCCCATTGTGAGTGAGACCTCAAGGTGCTTCCCCATGGCTTGCTAGTGTTTCTAAATTTTTGCTCAGATTGCTTTGAACTTTTGCATTTGTGTAGGAAATTAATACGTGAAGTTGCTCTATTTAAACGATATTCTAGTGTGGAGTAATTTGAACTTTAAATACTTTATAAGAGTATAAGCAAAGGGTTATACTTTATATATGCGTGAGTATCTTAATCTTTCTTAGCCTGCTATGGCTTTGGGATGGATTCAGGAAGGTAAGGCAGGCGTAACCCTGAGCCAGCAAAAGACTGAATTTGTTGTTTCCTGTGTTACTCTTTTGGCACAATAAAATCATAGTTATAGATACTAAGGATTTTTTTTTAATTTTATTTTTTTAAGAAAAGTCAGGGAAAAAAGTGATTTGTGACTCCCTGACAGTTCTTCAGAACCCCCGACAGTTCTTCAGATGTGATGGCCTAGTGACAGATAAAACTGGTGTTAGATTTCGTTCTTCTGTGTGACTTTATGTTGTAAGTCATACCAACACGCTTGAGGTTTTTTTTTTTATTTTCTTTTTTTTTTACGTGAATCAAGTACCTTCAGTTTAGCAAAGAAAATTGGGAAGATGATGCCATGTGGCTCTGAGAACTTACTGTGCATATAATACCTTATTTCCTGACTACTCCAGCATACTTCTCAAAACAATTGGGAGGGTGGTAAAACTACCAGTTTCAGGACATATTTGGGATTTTGTGCATGTTGAGGAAGGTGATGAGTTATTATGATAAATGAGACCAGTCTGAAATGCAGTACCTTTGTAGTGCCTGAAATACTATTATGCATATGTTGCAACTGGGACTAACTTGATCTGTATAAGATACAATATGTGTTTCAGAGTAAATGGAAATTATTTGGAAGAATTTGAGTCAGGGTCCAGCAACCGTTTATGTTTACACCTTTTTGATAGTTCTTCATGCTTTCTTCCGTTCTACTTTCAATGTGCATACCAAAATGTACTTTCTGAGCGGTATATGAAGTTAGTTGTATTGATGTGATCCGTGACGATCTTAATTTTTTAAACTTTTCTTGAAGGAGAAATTTATTCACAGGTTTTTTTCATATTTTTAGTGTAAGTTGTGAGAATTATTGAGCTACTGTTGCTTATGTAGATAGTATGAGCTGTAAGCTTCTGTTTAGACGATTTTATTTTATATAATGCAGTAATGAGTAGATCAAAATAAACAAAATTTTATTTTTGCCAGGGGAACATGAATGTGGCAGCTCCATTCAAAGAAATCTTACCGTCCAGGAGGCAGCTGCGTATTTAAAAGTAAGCAGACGAGGTATTTTTCATTGGTTGTGTATAAGATTTATGTAAGTTACAGTTTGTAAGGTCTGGTTTCATACGTAGTGTATTGACTAGATTTTGACTTAGTATTGGATATTACTTGGAAATGTTTGCAACTGATGTCTTTAACACATGCCATCTGATTTTTATTTGGGGAGGTACTAAGATTTTGAATGAGAGGGAAGGTGAAAGAAAGTGGCCTAATTGCAGAGAAACAAAGACAGTAGTGCTTCAGTTGCATGCAGTTTTTTTCCCTTTAATTAAAACACCAGGATATTATTTGAATTGATGGAGATACTTGACCAACACGAAAATTGTAGATTTCTGAAATTCAGATCTCTAGAAGCTTCTCTAAAAATCAGTATCCTATGTTTTGAGACTTGCTAAGAAAGTGGTGATGTCTTTCTTTGGGAGGAGAGGCTGACACGTGGATCTGTGTGGCGGTCCTGACAGGCGGTGGCTGTACAGAGACACTGTTCAGTGACACTTGAAGTAGAGATGGTCAAAACCACCTTTTGGTTAATTTGATAAGCGTGCGGTGTTATGAAATCCCACTCTCTGCAGTCAATCCCCTGCCTCACTCTCCAAATAAAAGATGACTCTTGCCTTGTCTTGACAGCTGTAAGGTTTATTTTAGCCCACATTGGTGTACCCTTCAGTGGAAAACTAATTTAAGCCTTTAAATGGCTGAGAGTATGAAATTTCTTTGATTGGGTGGGAGGGGGGAAGTTAAGCTATGTGACTCTTAATGTACAAATCGATAGAAATTTTACATTTTGGCAAACATCTACACAGTAGACAAAAAAGGGGCAATGTTAAGAGCATCATGAAGAAGCTGCTAATACTGGCTTGTGATTTGACAAAGGTATTGTGTATCTGTTAAAAGTAGTGCATGGTGGGAATATATTGTGAAAAATTAAGTTGATGCCACATAACTGATGGCCTTATCTGTTGTGCTGACAGAATGATAGTTGTTATCGTAACAACTGTTTTAGCTGTCATAAGCTCAAATTTCATACAAAAATGTGTGACTTTGCATGAAGTCTCATTTAACTCTTTGCTTTGGGAGTATAAATACAACTCCTTTGAAGAATTTCAGTGATAAAACTTTAATATTTGACTTTCAAAGTGAAAATAAAAGTTACTCTTTTTTCTTAAGCGCTTAACCTTTAATTCTAGGCCAGTTACATTATGTGAGCTTCAAAGGAAAGGTAGAGATAAATCTTTTTAGAGAATATAATTTCAAATACAATAGTAACTTCCATTTTTGCTGTTCTTTTTCTGCAAAAGAACGTGAAAAGAGCTATGAAAGATAGATACCCGTAGCTCAGATGGAAGTGAATGTTCTCCTATAATAGTTGAAACCAACTAATTTTAAAAAAAATAAAAATCAGTTTTTACGTAGTAACAGGATTTCTTGGACCACAAACACTGGACTAATTACAAAATATTTTCCTCAAGCTTCTTTTTTTTTTTTTAAATATAAATGTGAACTGCTTTTACAGGACCCATTTTCAGCTAGGTTTATATCTAGTTTCAGTTTTTCTCTTGAAGTATATTTTCAATGAGCACCGCCTAGTGGCTGGATAATATTTTCTTTCTTGTAGGTTAGAGTTGTTAATAAAACAGTGAATGTGGCTTGACTTTTCAAACAGTCCTTAGTTTGAGGAATCCTAGGAAGTCTGATAACTTGCTCATAGCGTGGGTAGATTCACATTTTGTAGTCAATACTTTGCAAAATCTGAAGAATCAGGAACAAAACTGCATTGTTGTGGCTACTAATCTATGCAGTATCTGAATTTTATTGTTGTATGATAATTTTCTGATTATTTATGAAATGACTCATTAACAATTGGATTTTTTGACAGAATTTAGATCCAGAATATGAAAGTGTACTTAACAGAGCGTTACAATGGATCTTGAATCGTGAGGAAGATGTTGGCATAAAGTAAGTGGTCTTTATTTCGTAACTTAAGTTCTTCTAAAAGCATATATCCTTTCATAAATATGTATATTTTTGAATAGGTGTCTCAGCAATGACCCTAATGAGATGGATGTCATTAATGTGACAGATGTGAAGTATCTGGAATCCACTAGTCCAAAGATGTCTTTCAGGTGTCGCTTCCGCCGTGCGTTTGTTAATGTAACTCACAGGTTATCAATATTGTTTTTGGGTAAGTTAAAAAAGAATCACACTTTTTTGTTGTAACTTGTGTTTATGTAAATGCAGGGAGGAAAGAAAACTGTGTTTAGATAAAGTTTTTATTCAGCTGTAAAACTTGGTTTTCCTATCAGTATCTTGATTCCAGTGCAGTTTGCTTTGCACTTCTGTTGCACTGCTGTATTTTCACTTCGGTTGCTATCTTCTGCTGCTATAGAATCATAGAATGGCCTAGGCCGGAAGGGACCTTAGAGATCATTTAATCCAGCCTCCCTGTCATGGGCAGGGACGCCTCTCAACTAGATCAGGCAACACATGGGGACCGAACAGGGATTGAACCACACTCTAACCGGCGCCCTAATAGTCCAACATACTCATTCTTTGGGAACTCTTGTGTTTTTCCCTGCCACAGCAATACCTTGTGGCTTTCAGAAATTCCAAGTTGAAGTGATTTCAAAAAGCAGAATGCTCAGTAAAAAGACAGGATAGCCTTAATTTTGAGAGTATTGCACTGTTATCCCAGGAACTTTGGAAACATGACTACAAAAGAGGATTTTCTAGTCTTGGTAGAAGTCAGATGCACAACATGATTGTCACCAAAAAAATCTAAGACTGTATTGTAAAAATATATCTAGTCCTTCAGTAAGGCTAACTAATTTAGTCTTTGATAGTTCTCTAGTTAGGTTTAATGCTTAATTTTATTGACAAATGGGTAAAATTTCAAACCACAGTCACAAGATACCAGGCTGTTGTTAAAACAATGAGAGGTTTCTCTAAAGGTAACTGCTCTTCAAAATTTAAGAGTTCGTGTTGCTGGGATAGAAAAATCTAAAATACTGACAGCGAGTACAGTGTATTTCACCAGCTTTGAAATTCAAAGTACTTCATAAGGTTAACTAGTACAACAAACTTCTGAAGTATGTGCTGTAAACTGTTAAATAACCAGTGTTCTAATAGCGTTTAAAGAGTTATCATACATCTTAATGCAGGTATAGCAATGGTTTGGGGAGTCTTGCACTACATGAAATACCGCTGGGCAAAAGAGGAAGAAGAAACGAGGCAGATGTATGATATGGTGGTAAAAATCATAGGTATGGCTTGCTGAGTCACATCTGATGTATCTGTATCAGCTCGGTATAATTTTTCAAAGTACTGACATTAATTCAGTTTTGGTTTTTGACTGTTTAATTGTCAGTCCTTATGCTGTCAGAGTTCTTGGTCAAATGTGTGGTTCATGTGTTTTGTTTATCTTCTTTTTTTTAATAAAAAATCCCATCATCCTCTATACCAAAAGTCTTGGTTATGTGTAAAGATTGTAACACATGAGTTACATCAGCATGGATATAATAAATTCTCATTGCCTTGGTGATATCTTATCTTGCTATTAGAAACAAATACAAGTGTGATGTTTGACTAGAAATATGGTGACAAGTTGCTTTCCGTATCTGTTTTTTCAGCTATCTTCAGTAAAAATATCCACTCTTAAAATCTGTTAGCCATCAATTCCATCCGTAATGTTTTTTTTTTTATAGAAAACGTAGCTTTTTAATTAGTCACTTTGAGCAGAAATTATGTTACTAAAATAGAATCCACAACTGAGTTCTGAAATTCTGCCTTTCTGCTTGAAGCCACAATGTTTTCAGTAGTTTGTAGTTTTTAAGCACTGTTTTGAGCTACCTTTTAACTTAGATTTTCTGAATACTTTCACCTATGGCAATCATCATAAATACAGAGATGGTAGACAATTTGAAGCTGTTTGCCTGTTTTAATATTTTCCTACATTTTTGGTTGCAAATTAAGTTTTGTTTGGGGTGAGGGAAAAGCACTTTATTTTCAAAGGTGGCTGTCATTAACAGTTAAAAGTACCAATCCAGAGTACCTGCAAGAACTTATTTGCTTTATTCCAAAGCTGTTTTGGGTACTTGTAGGCACTGTGTGTGGTTATTTTTCTTGATTTGCCTCCAGCCTAGTTAGGAGGAAAAATGCTTCAAAATGCCTAAAACACTGTAACTTTAACTTCTGAAATTGGGTGGAGTCTTCAGAATAGATATCCATTAGCAGAATTGATATTTTTCTTAATGTTTGCATGAATGATGTAGTTACGAGTTTTTCTCATGATGTCCTCAGATGTTCTAAGAAGTCACAGCGAGGCATGTTCTGAAAATAAAGACTTGCAGCCTTACATGCCTATTTTACACGTGCGTGATTCTCTAATACAACCTCAGGACAGGTATGTTCTCACTAGAAGTACTGAATTTCCTTACATGCAAGTAAGTAAAAATATAAATAAATAGGTTATCATTTCAGTAAGTTTCATAGTGTAATACTTTGGAGATTCTTAATGGCACAGGTGGGGGAAAAAAAAACCACTGGATTTCTCTTACAGGCTCAATGTCAGCTATGCAGGTTGTTGTAATGCTAACTTTGTGATTCTTGCTTCCATTTTTAAGGAGGAAAATGGGAAAAGTCTGGAGTAGAGCAGTTGACTTTCTTGCGGCAAATGAATCTAGAGTTCACACAGAGACACGAAGAATAGGCGGTGCTGAGTTCTTGGTTTGGAAATGGATGCAACCTTCTGCAGCATGTGACAAAATTTTAGTAATACCATCAAAAGTGTGGCAAGGCCAAGGTATTGAAGTTTTTTGCCTATATAATTGTTTGAATTTCTATATATAGCTTCTAAATGGTATTTCATTTCTTGAACATGAAAGATTTTTCTCTCACACCTTTAAGTACTGTTATGAACTGGCAGTGCTATTTCTCTACTTGTTCAATAGATTTATATTATCTCTGCATTCAGTGTCTGCTGTGTTTTCAAGTAAAATGAGCTTTTCTCTTATAGCTACTGCAGAAATACAGCAGAGGGCATGTAGCCAAAATGAGTTGCTTGTTCCTTTTCATGAATTTAGAAAACTTACAACTCTTTAGTTGGTCAAATTCTGACATGGTTTAGTTACTGGAAGTAGTGTGAATGGTTGTACCCGACAGCACGTAAATTGGAGCTGGGAGACTTGAGTTTCCTTCTGTTATCTTTCACGTACCTAAAGATGGAGTTTGGAGGAAGAGATGTTTGTTGTTTTGAAAGGGAGACTGCTGGGACAGAAGACTCCTCGATTAGCAGAAAATGAATTTTGAGCTTCTCCTGGCAGTGCTTCCTTTCTGTCATAAATGTTTTTCTACATTGGGCATTTGTATTGCAAGTTTTCTGGTGCAGCAAAGCATTTGCTTTCATAGAGGAGGCTGCCATACATGGATTTTGCAGGGATCTGTCACTTCTCAGCTTTATCATGGAGTCAAGTGCCAAGAATCGAGTGGGTTTGCAGTTGTCTGTCCGCAGTGGTCATCTTTTCCTAGTTCTTTTTCTATCTGCCTTTCTTCATGTTAAGCTTCAGTTTTTGGTTGGGTTTTTTAGTCAATGAAAAGTTGAAGCTATAAGACTTGGGTTCTGGGTTGCAATGAAAAAGAATGGTCATTTCTGTCCGGATCTAAGTGTGAAGGTGAATGTTTAATGTGCAATCTTAATTGCCAGTTATTTAAATGTTTTGACTCTGAGTCTATGTCTTGCCTTACGTTCTTCTGTAATGGTATATTATCTCTTTACTGAAGTAAATGCTGTGCAGAATCCTAAATTTATAAACTTACTGGCTTATTCTGATGGTGAGGAAAGACGGTGTGGTTGCTTCTCCAGTTTTTAGTTCAGCTTTTTTAATTGTATGTTATCAAGGTTGTCTGATGCATTGAACTAGATGCTGAAAAAAGCCTGGTTAAAAACCAGACTTTCTGTCCTTTATAGTCCCACTTCAAATTAAAATTCCCACTGGCAAGCAACTGCACTTTCATCTGTGGTCTTCTGGAGTATGCTAATTTTGGTTTTAGATTAGCTAATGCAAGTAGTAATAAGCTTCCTTCTTTTGCTTTTTAGTGGTATACATTTTTATTTGTAAGAAACAATAAAAACGTTGTTTCCTATAAAAGAGTACAGTTTAAAGTGGTTCCTTCCAATGTGATTATTTCCTTTCCAGAGACAAAGAGCCTCTTTGTGGTCTGGAACATTTATGCTGTAACAAGCTTGATTGCATGAGTAAAAGTACTGCTAACATTCTAGTTTTGTCCCAGGCTATTTGCATGTTTTCATAACTTCTGTGTATGCTTTCAGCCCTTGGGTCTTAAATTCTGCTTTTCTGTAGGTTCAAAGCAAAACCAAACAATTCTTTCTCTCAACTTGAAAAGCCAAATATTTTGCAGATACTTGACATATTATCTGATGAGGGTTGTAGTAGTTTTAGGACCCATTTTTGCTTGTCTATGCAAAATGTTATGTTGGAATATCATTATGTACTTCTCAAAGTTATGCTGCTGGTTTTAGCATTACATTTCTCATTTTAAATCATTCATTGGAAATGAGGGCTGCTTTTTAAAAAAATAAATCTTGCGAGTACTTCTGCAGGCTTGAGGTTCTGCAGTCATTGTCTTGCAGCAGTAATAACATGGCATTCTGCTGTGACAGCCGTGTTACATGATTTCAGTTTCTCAGAATTGTATTTAGCAAGATGTGAATAGTAACTTCATTATGAGAGTTGCAAAGCCTTTTCCTTCTAGGACATTGTCTGTTAGGGATGTGTGACTGGTTTAGGTGCAGTGCAGAAATGGTGGGCTTTGTCTACAGCTGTCTCTGTTCCATCTCTGTAATACTGTCATGACATATTTTCAAATACTTAAATTGAACGTAGCTTCTGCAAACTCCGTATATTATAAAGCTGAGTCTTCTGCGTAGTATCTTGTTGAGTACAGACTGTGAAACAAAACTCGCCAGTTCTGGAATTTCTCATTTACTACTCAGTTCCTGTCAGTTTTTCTTGTGCTATTTGTAAAATAAATCACTCCATAATATTCTGTCCTTGGTTAGAAATCAGCCTGAGGTTTTTTTCATCTTCTCAGTGTGTGATAGCTCAGGTGCTCCTTTGCTACATGGAATACGCATTCAAGTCTCTCAGCAGAATGGTAGCTTCCAAAATTTTGTACAGAAACAGCTGCTGTAGTAGCTACTGTTAGGTGGCATCTGAATTTGAGCACCTGATACCTACTTTAGCATATTGTGAGCGTGGACATAATACCTTTATTTCTTAGCTGTGGCTTTCAGCTGTATGTTTCCTAGTGTAGGTACGTAAGACTGTGCTTTCTCATGAGTAGGATATGTTAAGATCTGTCCTGCTTCAGTTCTTTTAATAGCAATTTTCCTAGTTTTCTTGTCATGCTTGTGTTCAGCAAAGATCTTTGAAGAATTGCAGTCACATACTTTGGCTCTAACAGAAGGGTGTGGAAATAGTGGCTGAAGTGACGTGGGTCGCGTGGGGGCTCCGTGTATTTTGGTAGTCAGCAGATTTTCGCATGCAAAGGCTCTTTCTTTCTATTTTACGTTTCTTGTTTTTGTGTGACTGTTGAAAATAGTTCCATGGCTCAATCTTTCCTGATGTTAAGAATCCCATATCTATGTGTTGCTTTCTTCATTTTTGAAAGTATAAATAACTGGAATTAAATTTTCCTCCACTTTGGATGTTTGAACATAGAAGCCCATAAATCTAAATATTCTTCAAGACTGCTAGAAGCTGAACAAACTCAGTGCGTGTAAAATCAGAATGAATTTTTAGTTTTTAATCTTGTGAATATAAATTTCAAGGTCAAATTTTTTTTAACCTTCTGACACCTGTTAGTTCTCTGTAGCAGAGTGCAATACCCAGAGCATGTGCAATTGAAGAAGTAAGCCTCTTAACCTGCCAGTATGTACTAGATCATTGGTAGATGATAACATGCATTTTAAATATGGGACCTGTAGCATGCATGAAGATCTAGCCTCTGCTGTCTGACAGCTTCTAGAGTTCAAGCATCACTGTGGCATTTTGTCCAGTCCTTCAGGATGCAGCCTGTGTTTTGACAAGCAGTTTGATTTTTTAAATTTTTTTTTTATTATTATTTTTAACTGGATCGTAATAAAGTCTGGTGTACTTCCTTTGAAATATTGTCTACTAGATACAGTAGATGTACCTGTCAGAAAAAAAAAAGAATGGGTATGTAAACTCAGAATGATGAACAAATAGGAGTGATGTTTTGAAAACAGGTGATGAGAACAGTGAATTGAAAAACAATCTTGATCATGGCAAAGTGTAATTTAATTAAACAGAGGGGGAAAAATATATTCCTAGTGTGTTCAGTTTGGTTTTCAAAGAACAGGTCCTATTATCCTATCGTGCCTGTGATAACTGAATCTCTAAAGAAAGGTGGGCAGAGCTCCATTGTAGCTGAGCTAACAGCAATAGCTAAAGTTCTTTGACAGCTCTGGAGATAAGGAGGTTTTCTGAAGTAGCACATCTAGGGTGATATTTCATCCTGCAACATGGAAGATAACCTGTTACCTTGTGTGAATGACACCCCTCCTCCCTGGCTTGTGAGAACAGAATCCTTTCTCAATATTAAACAAGCAAACAAAAATGCAGCTCAGTTCTTAACTGCTGCAAGAAAACTCTGGATTTTATGCTTGTAAAATGCTGTATCTATCCCATGCTAGTCTTTTGTATTAAACCTCAAGTCAACCACACTCTCCTTGCTTAATAACATTCAGTAGTATCTTCTCTGTTTACCAAAGAGCCTTCTGTTGTAAAGAGCATAACTTCAACTTTTTCAACTAAATGCTTTATCTTTTTGTTCTTGCCTTTGACAAGGAGGGCTACTATGTCAGGGCAATCCCAAGCACTGATACAGGCTGGGCAGTGACTGGCCTGAGAGCAGCCCTGAAGAAAAGGACTTGGGGTTACTGGTGGACGAGGAGCTCAGCATGAGCCGTCAGTGTGCACTTGCAGCCCAGAAAGCCAATCCTGGGCTGCAGCAAGAGGTGCGTGGCCAGCAGGTCAAGGGAAGTGATTCTCCCCCTCTACCCCACTCTCATGAGACCCCACCTGGAGTGCTGCGTCCAGTTCTGGAGCCCACAGCACAAGATGTCCAGATGATCAGAGGGCTGGAGCACCTCTCCTATGAAGGCAGACTGAGAGAGTTGAGGTTGTTTCTCCAGACTGGAGAAAAGGCAGCTCTGAGGAGACCTTACTGTGGCGTTCAAGTATCTGAATGGGGCCTACAAGAAAGCTGGGGAGGGGCTTTTTAGGATGTCGGGTAGTGATAGGACTAGAGGGAATGGATTGAAGCTAGAGATGGATCGGTTCAGATTGGATGTTAGGAAGAAGTTCTTCCCCGTGAGGGTGGTGAGACCCTGGCCCAGGTTGCCCAGGGAGGGGGTGGAAGCCGCATCCCTGGAAGTTTTTAAGGCCAGGCTGGATGGGGCTCTGGGCAGCCTGGTCTAGTGGAAGGGGGTTGGAACTACATGATCTTTAACGTCCCTTCCAACCCTGACAATTCTGTGATTCTATGAAATTAGTATGTAATAAATTAAAGTGATATGTGGCTTAACATTAATAAATCTGTTTTTCAGAAAGAGTTACCTGTATTTGATGCAAGTCTTCAACTTTATCAGGTGTATCACATCCACATCTAAAGATCTGTTGGGCTGTCTTGTAACCCATGGTGCTGATACTGGGGGATCTCTTTAGCAATACAGTGGTAATTCAAGAGGTATAGAAAGCTGTACTACAGCGTCTTAGGTGTTCATTTCCAAGTCTGTGCAAGAGTCACTTCTTCCATTATAGACATATTCCAGTCACAGTGAAAGAGATTGTTGAAAGCACATGCTTTTAGCTGCTGCTATTCTTTGAATCGGGACTGGTACCGTCACATTCAGTTTAAGGTAGTAAAACAAAGTATATTATGACTGAAATACAAAGTAGCTTCCTTTTCTTGAAAGTGCTCACTAGTCCAAGGGGAATTTATGAAAGTCCTAAAAATGTTCTTGCCGCTGACTTTATGCACAAAGTTGTGCCTCTGCTTTCTTCTTTCATCTCCACCTTTTTACACTGATCTTGTAAGCCGTACTGTTGAGACCTGTTTAGGAAGAGAAATGGCATGTGAGGCGCTTAGTTAATTACGGTGTAGCTTAGATTGCTGTCCCACAGGAATGTCTGCTTATGCCCTTACCGTGAGGGGAACGTTTTGTATGCTCCACACCAGTCTATATTTTCAAATGATCAGTACTGTAATCTGAATAGGTTTGCCACTTAAACATTTTCTTTTTTTAGAGAGGGAGAGAATTAATTGTTGTAGGTGTGTAGATGTAATGAAGTTCAGGAAACATCTGTTAACTACGCTAATTTGAATTCTGCTGTGTAGGGACAGCATTATTTTTAACTTGCCTGAGTCTCCCCTAGCCTGCCCTTTTGGTCCCATTTCTGGTATACATTTTAGTGCTAGTGTTAATTTTGTACCTCATTGATTTCTGTGGCTTTTTTTCCCCCCTTATACTTAAAAAGCTCCATCTGATTTGCAAAACTTTCTTTTAACTTACCATGACTTCGAGACATTTTTGAGAGAAAGCAGAATTCGTTTCCATATGCTGCACTGTCCTAGGCACACTTGCTCTCCTGTTACTGTGTAGCATTGCATGGGTAGCAGGCAAGTTTTATGTTGGTGGTGTGCTCTAGTTGAAGTTGTCTCTGCAAGCACCTGAGATCTTCCAATCAAAAGAACATCAGGGTTATTAAAAAGTTGGAGCAGGGAAAACTTGGGTTTTATAGAGATCTACACTAAAGCATGAAATTCCCCATTTAGATACTTTTGCATGGCTCAGTGGTGTAGCTGCTGCCTTAAACAACAATCTGGGGTTTTTGGAGTTCACAAACAGCTCGCAGAAATGTTGATCCTCTCGGCCTAGGGCCTCTGCAAGTAATCTCACCGTTCATTATCCTTGGATTAAAACCATGTGCTGAATAAACCTAGCTATTAACAATCAGCACATAATTTCCTCAACCCCGCGCCTTTTCAGGTCCAGGTCCATGACTAGGCCACCCCAGATCACCTTCTCCAGTATGGTGTGGTGCCCCAGTGTTCAATATGCTGGTGACATTTCACTGCTCCTTGATCTGCTGGAGCCAACCTACATGAGTAAGGTAAGTCCATTTGTTTTTCAATGTTGCTTAGTTCTGTAAAGTTTTTTTCTCGTATACCCTATGTACAATTTTTAATTGTGAGCAAAAAACTTTACAAAACCGTGTGCTATTGAAAAAGGACTTGTCCTTAAACTATAGGCAGCTTGGAGATAGATGCAGTGTCACCAGCATATTTAAAAACCTCTTGCCAAGAAAAAACAGATACTCACTAGAGGTGTTCATGACTGTCTATGTGTGTGTATTTTAATAAGAATATTTGTAGTTCTTTGGGAAACTTACGGTACGTTCCATATTAGATTTTGAGGCTACTTTTTCTATTTTTTTTTCTTTCCTGCCTCAGAGATTTACATAAGGAGCCAGTTTGTCTACACTGTACGTGCAGGCAGTGAATTTTCTCTTGGTTAGTGCTTGTCTTTCACATGCAGTGCCTTCCATGTGACTAAATTTCTTCTATATGACATGGTTTTCCTTTTGATGACATACAGAAGAACAGTGGTGTTCCTGTATTTTGGATATACTTGCAAGATTTTACTTTAAAAGATCAGCAGTAAGAGCACAAACCTGGCATGTCATCTGCCCCAAATTGAGACATCTCACACTTGGAACGTATCACTTTGGAACATCGTTTTGTCTTGCTGAGATTTTTAATCGTATGCTTAAACTCTTGAATCTACTCATCTCAATCTTCAAAGTAAAACTGCCTTCAAGCCTTGGAAGTTGTTTTACCAGTTTATCCCCTTCGATTTCTGTTGCTGCTTTGTTGGCCTTTCTTAAGGCATGGAACTACCTTACCTGAATCTGAAGGGTTCCTTTACTCCTTTTCCTTGTGGTGCAGTCTTCTGTTGCGACTCCCACATGTAGAACTTTTGAACTGTAGAGAAGTCAGTATTTATTTTAGAACTTAAGAATGTATTTCTTGGGATTGTTCAGCTTTGAGTGTTACTCTGTTATTTTTTGATTTCCATTCTTCTTCTTACATCTGTTTTATCATTAGTGTGTTTGGCTTCAGGTTTTTGCAAACTTCTGATCATGTGGGCAGAGCATATAGGGTTACAACAGCTCCATTCCTGTAGAGTGTTCAACAATTTTCACTGCAGTACAACATCCATCTAAGTGTCTCCCTATTTCTTAATCAGACGGGAAGCAAATTGCTCTGAAGTTTGAAGAAATTAAAATTCTTCAGGCAGTTAAAACTGAATGGTTAACCTGCAGCTCCAAAAAATTGCTCCAGATGTTGAGAATATCTGTCTTTTCATGGCAATGTAATGCAAATAGTTTCTTTTCAACTATATGGTATTTTTTAAAATATCCTGAATTCCTTCCATGTACTGTGGTCTGGATATAAGAGAGTGCATTATTTTTTCAAATGTTGAAGTTGTAAATCTAAAAACTAAGTATGATACACTTTTTTCAGTGCAGTAGAGACTGTGAGGAACTTAATTTGCTTGAAGCTCTTTCAGGTGTAGTGGAAAGTACTCCTTTGAGTGAAACTAGATAGGTATTAATATATTAAGTTGACACTTGTTAAATAGATGGTATTATTCCTGTGAATAAATGCTATTAAATTTATTTTTTTCTTTGTAGCATTTCATCTAGATAGAAGAAATTCACCACCAAACAGCTTGACACCATGTCTAAAGATTCGCAATATGTTTGATCCAGTTATGTAAGTAAAACCAGTTATCTATTTCTATATTCTTTTGACAGGGTCCATTTCTTTCCTCTGAGAGGGGTTTGGAAGAAGGAAACAAACATTAATTCCTTAAAAGAAACAAATGGGTTATACAGAAAAAGATTAAATCTTCCTCTTAACATCTGTGGAAAGACACATTTAACGTTTCTGTCTTCTATCCTTCATTGTCTTGCTTTGTGTCTTTCGGTCACTTCTTGAAGAGTGAGGCATTTAGCCTCTAGTAACTCCTCTGGAGTAATTTATTCCCTGGTGTGATTATACAAGGGGAAAATGAAGATGCTATGCTGTCTTGCAGAGTAGAAGTGAGATGTTAATTGTGACTGAAGAATATGAGGAGTGGAAAACGAAAGCTTTTGATTAGAAACAGGGAATAACAGGAAGCAGGAGGGGACACTGGAGTATGAGCACAAGGGAATGCAAAGTTTGTATGTATGTTTTTTCAGCTCTGTTTCTGGCCAGTCATACTTAATTGCTTTAGTTCCTTGTCTTATTAATTGGAAAGCTGTTAGCTAATTTAGCTGAGGACAGTGATAGCCCTAGCATAGAGAAGTGCTCTAAAAACTATTTTTCTCAATGGCTTTAAGACTTAATGACTGTTGTGGGCAGAGGCCCCGACTGTGGCTTCTTTCATAACTTTCAGGTTGCAGTAGGGTGAGCCAGACTGCATTTGTAGGCATTGTTCTTGAGGCAAACTGATCCTCCTGTAATAAAAGATGAGAATTGCTGAGAATTTTGCACAAGATCAATGTCTTTATTGTCCTTGCCACAAAGGAGAGCTCATGAGCTATATTGGTTAGTCTGAGTAGTACTGAAATAAATCCATTGCTGAAGCTTCACAGTAATAATTATTGGTATGCTGTATTGGTTACTTCCTGGTTTCAAAATGTTAACTGTTAGCTGTTCAAAATATCTGCTATTAATGGAACTAGTAACTGAGATGTTATTTTTGTCAGAACAGTCTCTCTTTATAAGCTGTATCTTTGTTGTAAACTTCAGTGTATCTCAATAGTGACTCAGTCTGTGGCCAGCAAGTGGCTAGTTTTGCTCTTGACACTTCTCTTTTACTGTCTACGTCCAGTCAGCTATTTTGAACACTGCAACTTGTAATACATTCACTTTTTGTAGATGCTTTCTTTTGGAAGTTGACCTAGCTCTGTTCCTGGACCGCTGGATTATAGTCATAGTGGGATACGCCTTCCATTTCTGTGTGGCATGCCCCAGCCCATTCCTCTTCCATAAGCTTGTCTTGCAGATGACTGTTGTTTATCACACCTTTAGAGTAATCCTGAACATAACCCCAAAACCCTCAGTGCAAGACAAACTACTTCATTCAACAGCTTGTGTCAGAAGAGGAAGGAGGTTTCTGTTCTTGTCCCAGATCTGAAGCGGATGAATGCCTTCACTGACCACCTGAAACACAGAATATACCAGTGCATGTGATTAGATTGGCAAATACTGTTTTGTCATTTGCCTCAGGTGCAATAAAATTAGTTAAGTCAAGCTGTTGTATACTAACAATAAATGAGTGAGTACTTTTCAACAATATACCATCATCTTTTTACCGCCAAAAGCCAGGAACTGTAGCTGGACATTGTGAACCCTCAGACCACAGCAGCAGACTTAAACTGGGATGTACGCTCTAGGCATTCAACTGTGCCAGACACAATCCCGCTTTTTAAAATACCAATCTAAGCATGATTTGGATAAGCCCGTCTTAGCATTTCTGCATCTACCACTAAGTCAGTTAAACAAATGAGTCATAAATCATGGGTAGCATTGCTTCAAGACTCATTTTGGCAGCTAATGGAACATATGTGTGCAGGATTGGAAAAAGTCAAGTCATTCTTGTTGGGAGCCTATTTCATTACAAGAAATCCAAGTTAGTTGATAACTTCTGATTTTTCATATCCTGCGTCTGCAAAACACAAAAAGCAAGAGCAGACTGGGAATGCACTTCTGCTTGGTTTGCAAACAGGAAATGAGCACTTGGGAGTGATGCGGTATTTGGGAACTCACGTGTTTGGGACTTCAATATTTGGGAAGACACAACGGAAAAATGATCCCTACTTTTAGCAATATGAGCTTCTGTTATGGTAACTGGTTTTCTGCTGACAACAGCATGCTTCTCGAGAAAATCTGGACACGAGTCCCAGGCTGGGAAAGAATTCACCAATGTGAAGTTTTCACAGAATCGTAGAACAGTTCAGGTTGGAGGGGACCCTTTAAAGGTCCTGTGTTTTGCAATTTGGAATTACTTTATTTCCCTAATATCCTGAGCACAGCTTGTGTTAGAAAGTTAGAAAATATTATTTATGCTGTTAGAGAAGGGAGAGGAGACTTCTCTCCCTCCCAGTAGGACCTTGATTTGCATCTTCTTTGCACTCTTGTGTACCTCTTCCTCATTTGTTTGTTTGTTTACATATGATCTGCCCATATAAGGGGCATCAGCTGGAAAGCCTGATCCTCTAACTAATCAAGGTCTAATGACAGAAAGAAATCTGACATTCTGTGGTGCCACAGTCCCTCAAGTGTTGTGTTAGTGCCCTGCTTAACAGAATTAAGTGACATCCCTGACCAATTCTTTATGTACTTTCCATTTCCTTGTACTTTTTTAATGAATAAGGAGGAAGGTAGATTAAATTTTTAAAGAATTTTGGCCTTATGTAGAAAAAAACTCTTTAAAACTAACCAGAGCTCTTGATAGTATTATTGAAAGAGTAAATTCATTGTTTCTTCATCTAAAGACTATTCAGGCAGGCTTAAAGGTTGTTGAAATTGTTTTCCTTCTGCGTAGAATTATTTTATTGGAAACAGATAGTTCCTCTAGTGCCTCACAAAAATGTATAGACTCCTGTCTTCTGTAATGATGCGCGTAAAGATTGATTAGCCTTGAGAATAAAACTTCTTTTGTGAAAGCCCCCAAAATTGAAATCCGATTTTCAATAACTTCTATTTCTGGATCTAGACTGACATGTTCCATCAGCACAACAAGTGCAATCCGATGCTTTGTTTGGGGGCGTGAATAGATAGTTCAGTGATGAACTGTGTCCAAGTAGCTAAAAAACTCTTTCAAGCTGCTGAAC